TTGTAGCTGCTTTGCTAAAAGTTTGAACAGGTTTTAGAGGGAGATTATGTTTTATGTAAATGACTGCTTCCTTAATATTAGGGGACTTTCATTGACTGTCAATGGGTGACTGGATGGGAACTACAGTTTCATTTTCTAAAAATGGATTTCTATGGAAATGTTTTTTTTTCCTTACAAAGAACCAGCCGCTTTAGCTTGAAATGGTGGAATATATTCCACCATTTAAGTTCTCCTGTCAAGTGTCTGCTTGTTGCTGATGGATATTCACTTGATAAATCCTGATATTTTTGTAAAAAAGTATATGATGTGGTGCATCTTGTGCCGTTTTCCTCCATACGCATCAGGCTGCTACTGTCACTTTGATTCCTTCGACAGCCCAACAACCCATCTATCCCCAGACACGGTCCATGGGTTTATGATACAGATCAGTGCAGGTGGGGGGACTCAATTAAAAAGCCAATCACCAACAGATAGACTCTATCTGTCCGTCAACAGCGCTCTGGCCGGCACATTTAATTGCAAGGCAGGATTCCCCCCACTATAAGCATCATCTGTCCGCCAAAGATCACAACACACAAATTGGGTGTGTGTTGACAGATGGAATCTTTCAGGAAGAAGTTGCTGTGGACCTACAATATGAAATCTCATTGTCTTTTTCAGGGACATGTGAAATTCCCTGTATTACCCCCTAATCAGCTGGGTTAACTGCTGGCATATTGACGGACTGCTGAAGCATTGATCCAGGTGGGTGTTATGGAGTGTATCGTCATTGATTGCAGATACTCTGCAGTGCACTATGAGGCTGGATTCATTTGGGTCCTCCAGCTGTAAGCCGAGGCCAGAGAGGCAGATTATGGAGGTTTGGTATGCCTAAGGTGCATTGTGGGATACGATGTGGCCTCCTTCCTCAGAAATCGCATTGAGTGAAACCCAGATTTTCAGCCACAGGAAGCATCATGCAAAGACCCTTAAAAATCATTCACAACGACACACATACACCGACATGCTCTTACAAAAGACTAGCAAAGGGCATGCATATACAATGTGTGAGTCTGACTGCACACAAATAGATGCATGACTTAGTGTATAAATAGATCTACCTGCAAATAAAAGTTTATAAAATCAACAGAACAATAAGCTCAAATATTAAGTGGGTTAAACGACCCCATGAAATTTTTTTGTTAATTAAAGCAGGAAATTTGTTGGTAATTGTACTGACTTCCTGTGCACAAAGACTTTGGTTGTGTCCCAAATCAGCAACTTGTTCTCTACTACATCTCTTTATATGGAGCTCAGAGGACTGAATATAATGAGCTAATTGGAAAAAAATCATTTCTATTTACTATTCAGGTCATTTCGTTCATGACGTTAATTCCATCATTGCAATTGCAAGATTGTATTAAGTGCTTAATAGGAGACAATAGTTTTTACTCATCACTTGATCATTAACACCACAACATGACTAATCAACTGCAGAGTGATTTGTGTGTGATTTCAGATCCAATGAAACAGAAACATTCTAAACTGGATGCTTTCACTTTTTATATCTATAGACAATCTAATGATGCTGAAAAGACTACAACTTAATATTGTTTTGAAAATTAGACATTTTGGCAGAATACCAACTAGTCAGTAAACATACAAAAACATGTTGTTTTGTAGGCCTACCAACATTTTTGAGACTTTTCAGGTAAGCTAATTAACAACCTTTGTGAATGTAAGTAGAAGAAAACACTTCATTTCATATCGTTTAATTAGCTGATATGTACATCATGTGTCGGAGACGGGGGCTGTTGTTGGTGATGGCTGCGAGATGAACTCCCCGTGCTGTTATTTCACCATGTCAGAAGATGACAAAATGTTCTCTCCCTTTGAGATTTCTCTTGTGGATTCAGCCTTTGACCCCCGTGTCCAGCCTGCGTTTGTTTACCAAAAATTGAGTTAAGGGTGTACTTTGAGTGCTAGACCAAGTGTGTTTTGTGACTGAGTAAGAGAGTGAAAGGGTGGAGAGAGAGAGAGAGCCCGGAAAGTATTGTGCAACAGTAAATGACGCTGAGGTTGATAGTCTAAATAGTGAACTCAAACAAAAAGAATGAACGCAACATGGCTGTTTGTAGGACTGTAAAACATCAATGTGGGAATCTTACATTTTTGTAACATATGGAAACTTGAAGCCTCGCAAATGTTGTGTTACTTCTAAGAGAAAGGAACGCTTTCCTCAACCAAAAGACAGACTGAAATGAGGCAGAATTTAAGTTCCCTGACCAAACCATTGATCCAGTTTTTTTTCTCATAATGACACCATCTCTACAGCAGCACACTCAGTACTTACTGGAAGTGAGTCATTTAGCAGCGCTTGCCCCCAGACTCTGATTTAAGGTTGCTCGACATGTTTCCATGGCAAGGATGGAAAGGCATGTCGGTGGAAGGGCCTGTCTATCTGTGGTGATGTTTCCCCTATCAACCTAGTGTGTATTTAACTTTAGCCAAATATGGTCGC